AAAAAGGCATGCTTTTCAATGCCAAATAAAACCACCCTAAATAGAAAGAACTATTTTAACCCTTTGGGAAAAGATAAGTGAGTTTTCAAAAAAATTACATACTTGCTCTCAAATATTTGTGTACCACTCGTCAATGCAGTTTGGATAAATATAAATAGAGTGCCCATATATCATTTTTCATTCAATCTGGAAAAATTTGAGTGTGGTAATATAAACTGGAAATGCAAACTGAGTCATTTAATCATATTAATTAAGGAGTTCAGCATCAGGCAATTCATTTTTTATCCTCAGTTAAGTAAGCATGTATAATCATGTGGTACTGAATATTGATTTTTATTTAGTCCATGACATATCTCATTTGCCAGTCTTTTAGGGAGACTCAATCACCCACGAGTGTTTCTATAAGAAAATATTGAGTTCTCTGGAAGATCTAAATCTATCAGAACTAAGTAAAAATCAATGAAAAGAATAGGCAGATTTTAAAATTTTTTTTTAATTAGGATAAAATAGGCAGATTTGTAACCAATTTTTTTGACATGTTTGTCTTTCTTAGGGAAACATATTATAAAATACTAAAATAAGTACTACATATAGTTTAGTAGTTTCATTGTCTATATATGAACTGATATGTCATTTCAAATTTTAAAAAAAAAAATCTGCTTCTTTCAAATTCTTATTCATAGTGAATATTTTTCAAACAACATTCTGATTTCCCCTCAAGACGGTAAGTTATATGCACAATGAGAATGAAGAATCAGCCCTTTGGCTTTAATAATAGAAAATAGTTTATTCACTTCAATGGTCCACACAATCAATCCAGGACATTTTACTGAATACAATTCTTTTAGTAATAAAGTAACCTGGAAAATGCCAAATTATTGCTAGGTGTAATAATAAAATATAAGGTTAGCATTTCCTTACTAGAAAAAAGATCCTTTTGAAGTAAAGTTTATAAAAATTGTGCTTCTTCTTAAAAAATTACTGGTAAATTTTTAACAAAACATGGTGTACATAAGTTTGTTGGCTGCATGCATTATCTCTGATTATAAGTAATAATTTTCAGACAATTGAAAATACAGACAAATCACTGACTCACAACTTATAACTGAAAAACTTTATAGACATCAATTTAATTTTTTTTTAGCAGGTTTGGCAGGCTTTCTTTTTAAAAAAAATTTTTTTTTAAAGATTTATTTATTTATACAAGCACTGGGTACAGTCAGAAGCACGGGAGTGTATGAGAGAATTCACCAGAGCCAGAGCAGGGAGCAGAACAGAGAGAGTGACGAAATACACTGCTGAAGGGAGCAGCATGTGACAGGAGAGGTCTGCTGGCCATGTGGGACCAACGCCCGTTGATCAGGGATCAAACCTGCGCTGCAGAGGCCGCGGGCAGCTTCGCAACCCAGCGCTCAACCGCTGCGCCGCCAGGGAGGCTCCAACATCAATTTTTTTTTTTTTTTGCCCTCTCACCAGGGACTATCCATCCATGATATGTTTTCTGTTAAAGTGTTTTTATTTTTGTTTTTGTAACGGAACTGTGTATGCACTAAGTTAGTAGTCAGCAGATTCAAAATAATTGGCCAGTTCAAGATGTGGGGAACTAAATTTGTTAAACCACACTTTTTGATCTAATTTGACTAATTTTGTAAAAAAAAATATAAATAATCCAGAAGTTTTGATTTTGTGTATTCTTGAATGTGAGTCAAAGTGCATTTCATTTGGTAATTGGCACTCGTTATTGGGGAAATACTGCACTATGAGCCTCAAATGGGAGCATAAATAGATGGACAATACTGCATGTAAATTCTGAAAAGGACAAGTATGACTATTATCATTATATATGTCATTTTCGGGTCTCCCTGGTGGCACAAGGGGTTAAGACGCAACCTATGAAACTGTCCACAGCCACTGCTGCACGGGTTTGATCCCTGGCCAGGGAGTTACCCACATGGCGCAGCAGACCTCTCCTGACTCGTTTGCTGCTCCCCTCAGCAGTGTATTTCAGTTAATCTGCCTGTTCTGTTCCCCACTCTGTCTGTGGTGAATCCTCTCACCACCAACCCCCACACCTCTGACCTGTAGCCCAGTTCTTCTCTGCATAAATAAGTCTTTAATATATATATTACGTCATTTTCATTTATACAGCATTCCACAGTTGTGTAGGAAAACTTTTGACAGTGCATCGTGGTTCCATCTAGACTGTACTGGGAGCATTAGTTGCTAATTGCAGAGAATCTGCACTTGATTCTTTTATGCTAGACAATCTGTGCTGTAAACAACTAGAAAGCAGGATACACTCTATTTTCCCTTCACCTCCAACACAACTAGTACAGTATTTACCTCAAAATATAGGCTTGATCACTCTTCACTGAATGATTGCACGTGTTGTCATTCTATTCTGGAAAAAGATTGGATGGGTGGATGGATGGATGGATGGCAGACAGACAGACACACACATACGTATATACTGTATATAGTATATAAGGCTGAATTTGTATGTGATTAATCCACAATTTGGCTAAACAGCACCTCATTAATTATTGAAAAGTTTTCACTTTTTTCTATTGAAGTTTGTCCTATTATTTGACACCATGTTTCAATATATACTTGAGAAGCTTGCATTATCCTTATTTTCAGCTTGTCCCTCCATGCTCATAGAGGACCCCTAGAAGTTTTCAAGCAATTTATTTCATCTGAAGTTTGTGAAATGACAACTCTTTAGGATCTGAATAGTGGAATGCAGTTTGCCTGATATTTCTAAGAGGTAGAAGAGACAAACAAAAATTATCCAATTGTCTTCATATACTATAACCATGTGCCTGACCAGTAATGTAAATATAGATGCTATAACCTCTCTTAGCCATCCTATTTGGTATAGCACTTGCTGAATAGTGGAGAAGAGAGAACATTGGTTTAAGTGTCCTATGACATAATTTTAAAGCATAGATTTTGTTTTTCCATTCACTAGGCTTTACTAGAGATAGGCAATACAATCAATGAATCTCTGGGGAAAATATTAATGCTTTTTGCCAACTTGGTAACAACCTCAGTTTTTCACTACTTAAAATAAAAGGCTATATAAATCAATTTCTTTTTAGGTGTAAGCAATTACCCATAACGTGGGAGGCAAAAAGACATGGCTAATATTTGATTCCATTCAAAATTTTAAGATAGTTTTATCAAAGATCATCCTTGAAAATGTCAGCTCCAAGACTAGAATTTCACTTCTGGTTCAATCCCAGAGTTTTCTACTTTATTCCTACTGATTCCTTGAGCAGTATGTTCCCTCTGTAACAGAATTCAGCAAAGCCAAAGGTTTTCTGATTAAAGAGTCATTGCCATGGAGCCAAAATTGGCAGCACTGACTTTTCTTCTTAAAGGATGAAGGAAATAACTCAATCAGCAGACTCCCAAAGCAAAGGAAAAACCAGGCCCTTAGCTGGAAATACAATATTCTATAAACTGGGAATTTAATTCCCCTGGTTATTTTCTCTCTCAAGGGTGGATAGTTATAATAACTCAGTTTCTTACAAATCTTTATGATGTAATAGAGATTACATCTTGATAGAGATTCATATGTAACCCATTTTAAATGTATGTACTTTTATTGGCTATGATCCTACTGATCTTAAAATCAAAGTTGGGCATAATTTTCTTCTATGGATTCAGGTAATAAAAATGTCAACAGAACATACTGCTTCAGAAACACAATACTCTAATTTATCTTGCCTTGTCCACTTTGTTAGTTTATAAGGAGTTTGAACATGAGGTTTTGTTTTTGAATTATAGTTATTTGCCACTTCTCAGTCCCTCTAGCCTCAAATTTTCTAAAAATTGAATATTTATTATAATAGCTAGTGTACATGTCACATAAATTTGTTGATTCAAAGTCCTGTATATTTATATATCATTTCTTCCATTTCTTTTAGTTTATGCATGAGAAAACATGCCCATAATAATTGAGTTTTATTGAAGTTTAGGTTTTAGGAATTATATTATTCTTGTATCTCACACATTTATCATACTGCCTAAAGACAAGTATATTTCACATGTATGGTTTTCCCTGTACATATCCAATGATTTGCTAAACACATTTACAATAAAATTGTGTTTTGAATTTTTTTTCTAAAATATAAAGTATGTTCCATACTTATACTGTTTTATCATGTATTAATTATTTATCAGCACTTTGAGATTTAAATGTAGTATAATTTGATATAAACTTAGTATATACTTTCTTATTTTAAAGGTGATAACACAATTAAGTCAAAGTTTTAAAAATACATTGAATTATTGAATTATTTTAAGTTTGGGACTATGTTCTCAGATGGTTATCTTCTTCAATAAATATACATAACACAAATAATTCTCTATGTATATGTATACACACAGACCATAAGCACAACAATTTTGTTTAATACACATGTACTTATAACATAAACAAAGTTTTTTTAAAAGATTAAAAACTTACAGTATAAAGTTTTTTTCATTTAATTATGGAAAACTGATCATAGAAGAGCTCTGATTATTAGACTTTCAAATTAATGAATTGGATTACAGAATTATGATGGATGCAGTTATTATTTTTCTGTGTTCATTTATGAAGAAAGACATTAATGGATATGAAATTTACTGGATGCTTTATGAAGTATAATTCATTCTCTCTCTCTCCCTCTCTCCCTCTCTTTCTCTGTCTCTATCTCCCTTTCTCCCTCCCTCCTTCCCTCCCTACCTCTCTACTAACTCCTTTAATCCTTTGAGCAGAATATATTCAGATTTCCTTCAAATCACAGTCAGCTCAGTTTGGCAAGTTCTAACAGAACTCAGTCAAGGTGAAATCCAGCCAGCTTTTGCTGCTAAACAATGTATTCATACAGCATATGATCTCTGTCTGTTCAGGCTGCTTCTTGCTCTTGTCCCAGAATAAGAAAAGAGTGTTGCTTTCCTGGGGTATGCTATTTGAGAAAGAAAGTAACCTAACACTAACGGCAGGCGGGGTCAGAGTGATGTAACAGGAAGCTCTGATGTTTCCCTTCTGCTGCTGAGCACATACAATGTGACAACACTTCCAATCTATTCAGAACAACCCTCTCCCTCCAGCAGAGTGTCACCTCCTGCCTTAGGATCATCAAGCTCTGCTAACTGGACCTCACTCTGCCTGCAGGATCACATAGCAAGGATTTCACTCTTACCCATCTTGCCTGGGAGTAAATCTTTTCTTCGGATTGCAGAAAATCAAATTCCATCCTAAGAATATTTCACCAAGAATTTCCTCAGGAACTGTGCTGGGTAAGTGCATTATTCAAATACATGTATTTTTTCTAAGTAGCATTCTTAAGTAGTTTGATGTTTCTCTAATAGAATTTGGGTTGTGACACTGAAATAACGTTGAAACATATTCTCATTTATTTCACATGCCAGAGAAACTACAGTATATTAATCTAAAATGTATATAAAACCTACTGCTACCAGATATTATGTCAGTGATATTCTAGAAAATATTTAACAAGTAAAAAAAATCTAAATGAATTAGAAAGCACACTTTTGAATAAACATGTATGAACAATTTATCTTTTAAAATTAGCCCTGCTATTAGCTAAGTTTGAATTTTGACAGCTGGAAAACATTTTCCCCCAGGAAGGGTCTTTAAACTTCCCATATAATCAGAGTTCTAAGGTAGGGATGAACGGCTAATTACTTATGGGGTCTCAGAGTCTCACTCACTCAGTAGTTGAACAAAATGGAGAATTAAAAGAAAAGTCACTTTGTATATACTGTATTTGTCTTCTATTTGCTTTGCACCTCTATATATTTCACTTCTATGTACAAATATTTTCTATTAGAATAATGGGGGTTTTTATTGTTTGTTGTTATCAGATGTGTTTAAGTCTCTCTTTAATCCTGAACTATTTCCTCTGTATCCGCTCATGGAGTGGACTACAAAAAAAAAAGGCAAAGATTGAGAGAATGTTGAGATTTCTCTATTAATTCTAATTTCAAAACTCTTTAAAAGAATGTGTTATTTCCATTTGTTATCTTCTGCAAGTTTGGGGGGAGGAGGTATGATACTGAGATATCTGTGGATGAAGAAAATAATAGAGGTCTCCCAAATGAGATTATCAGATTATTAACTAGAGAAATTAAAGTGTGTATTTATAAAGAAAATCCAGGAAAAAACTTACTAAAATGTTGAGAAGAAACATCTGTTGATTCTTCTTTCAATGGTACAGATTAGACTGGAAAACTAAAGAAACTAATGGCTAGTTAACAAATTGTTGGTATGGAGGCATCACACTTTTGTTGGTAAGAAAAATTAGATGTCAAATTTCTGTTCACATTATGTTGATAGACACAATTTATATTTCGTATACTTTCTTACCTAACTGAAATTATACTCTGAAAAATGTCCGTCAATGGAGAAATCTGGCACTTAGCTCATATAATCTGACACATTAGGAGAACTACAAACTCATTCTCAATAACTTCTTTGAAATTTCCCACAAATTTCTCCACCTAATGGAAATTTCAATTAAGTTTGTTATTGTGATTCTTAAAAAATAATATGGTTGATTCCTTATCTTCTTTCAGTCTTTCCCAAACACATGTAGAAATGGAAAAAATGTTTTTAGAAAGTGAATTTGTAAATAACCATTAGATAATTAGGGGAGAAAATGAAAAGAAAACATTAAATATCTAACCCAATGTCATGGGTTAATAAAAAAATATCCTTAATATCCAATTAGGCTATTTTATTAAAATAATGTATTACATTAATATATCCTTTCTAACTTTTATTTAATTGCTAGTCAAAACTACATAAATTTCTTGCATAACTTAATTAAGATTTTACAACTACTTTATAGTATGGTTTGTATCTTTACTTTTAAAAACTTCTATTGAAAAACACTAGGCAATAGGTATTGAGGGTCTTTTAGGCAAATACTGAGAAAATAATTGAAAACTTGAAATAAGAATTTATATTATTATATCCTGAAATTCGCATTCTTCAATGATATAAGTGAATGTGGGAATATCAATGCATGCTTTTAATCATAAGAATTAGTTTATTTTCCTGGATGCTATTTCCCTGTAGCATCTTAAAAAGCAATGCACTGTCTTAGGTCAATCAGTTCTAAGTATGTAAATTGAGAAATTGCTACGAATAATACATTTTATCTGAAATATGTAATTATCTTTGAGAAGCATGATTTTGGTTAAAGCTGTATTTTTTCATATGTCTCTTAACACATGCTAAGATTTTGTTTTATTAGTAGAATATGTAAATTTTTAGAATTTACAAAATTATTCATTCACTTTGGGAAAACAGAGAAAGAAATAAAAAATATTGGACCTCGCTCTGTGATTTTAAAATTTATATTAAATGAGTAACTAAAATAAATGCACTTACTAAATGTTGATGACTAGGATGTAATGAGGTTTAAATGGAATCAGTATTTTAGCATATTTATGAATGCGTTAACATTTTTCACCTGTGTATATTTTACCATTATTTACTGCATTATAGAAATTTGTTTCAATGAAACAGTCAAGCTAATATTAAGACCAAAAAAGATTGATAAGCTTTATGCTCATATGGAAACATTCTTTGATAACATATAAAGTTATCAGATTTCAGTTAATGCTATTATATATTTCTAACTTAAATCATGTTTAGAACCATTATAACAATTTTTTGTTTTCAATTTTATATGTATAAGGTTAAAATATGATAGTGAATACTTTTAAGATTTATCTTCAAGACTTTAAAGCAAAATAATCTTCAAAACATCAAAATATGTAGCCACTAGAGATATTTCAAATTTTATAGGTGACCTTGAATGTAGCTTAAACATGTAATTCCATTTTTTTAGAGATATAATGATTAAGGTGACATTTCATAAACCAAATATATTCAAAGAACGTTATTTGACATCTTTAACATATTTTTTATCTTTGTTTAAGACACAGAGTTTTAATTAGCGTATGTTGTATCATTGCAATGGTGGTAATGAAAGACACTCAGAGAAAGTTTGTAGCACCCTGATCTGACTCAATCAGACTACCACTTAAGATGCAAAATCAGTAGTAAACAGCTTTTAAAGCATTTCTGTCTGGTTTTGAAGTCCATGCATGAATTATCAATGTTATAATTTCTTAAAGCTTTCTTTTTCTACCAAAGTACATCCAATCATGTTGCACTATTATTTGAAGAAATCCTCTCATCTAATATCTGAAGTGGAAAATAAAAATTAACCAGAAATACAAAAGCGGTGATTGCAATTCCTACTTTTGCAATTCCAATTGCTATTGCAATTCCAATTTAAAGAAAAAAGTCCTCAATGAATCCAGTTTATTATTTTTTTATATCTCTTTAGGATTATAATAGTAATCTAATCAGATTAGATAAAATAATTTCTATACTTTACCATTGCATTATCTTAAAATCAAATTCATTGTTTTTTTTTTTTAATTTAGTAAGTCTTTTATGAAAAGGGTGTATATTAAATTTTCTGAAAGAAACAAAAATGGTCTTAATTCTTCCTATTAAAAAATAGACTAGAATCACTGGCTGAGAACTGAGTGAGTTTCTGTGTTAATATATTAAGTTACTAGTATTATTATCATATGATAACTTGTCAATATTTTCCTAGAACATGTTTCTCCCTTTTTTCCTTTAAATCAGTCTGGATTTCAAAAAAGACAGTATTAGGCAGAACTAACACACAAATACATAATTGCTTGCAAAAGTCAATATGATAATATATTTTTCAATGTAAAACAAAGGTTATCTTTTTACTCCTACACAGTTTTAATTTAATTGTATACTTTCTACCTTATTATTAATTAAAAGGACCAAAATCTCAATTAAACCCAACTTAAATCTAAGTATGTCATTAACTAAATAATTAATCACTGTGGGATTAAGACTATTGCTCTGTGCTTTACTGATGTTGTTGGATGGAACCCAATTTTTCAGGGAAATCTTGGTCCCCTTAAAATGGAATATACTTTTTAATTAATAATGATAATATAACAAACTTTTGTATAAACCTGTAGGTTTAGGTTAGGCTGAGCTCAGCTGCATATCTCATAAAAACATTGTGCTCCCTGTACATGTCGTTTGGTGTCTCAAATAGCAGTGCTATAGGGAAATTATATCAAAAGTTAGATGGATTATAAGATTGCCCCTCTATTTACAACTTAGTTGAATGGAGGGTATTAGCATATTCATGAGCACTCAGGTTTGGCTTCATTGATCAGAATTAAGATACATGTGTCTTATATCCAAGTACTAAATACCTAAATTTTACAAAAGAGTATCATTTAAATGTGTGTCCATTAGCTAACCTAAGATAATCATTTTGCAGGTATTTGGTACCAATCCTCAATTTGGCTCTCTTCTAATGATAATTTAATGAGAAAATCAGAACTTCAGTATATACTAGGGAAGAACAAATAACTTTATAATAGAAAATAAGGAAGATTAAAATCATGGAAAGGTCAGACCATAAAACCATGATTTTTTTATTCTATAGATATTTTCAAATGTGAAGTAAAATGGGGGGATTTATTTTTACTTGTTTGAAGAGCAATTAGTATTACAGCAACTCATTTATATGTTTTATTGATCAATCTATGCATCTTCTTTAAAAATTTACCTTCAATGAAATATTTAGGTTTTGCAACTTTAAAAAATTGCCAACATGCTTTATTATCTAAGACAAAAATGTAAAGTATGCATCTGTGTTTTAGAAATTTAGGTGCAATCATTCTTTGAAGAAATTATTGAAATGAAATACACTTTAGACAGCATCCATGTCATATGTAGCAAGGACATTGAACATTTTAATGTTCAATGAACATTAAATGAATACATTGAATACATCAAATACAACAATTGAATACATCAAATACAACATTAAATGAATACATCAATGAATACATTGAACCCAATTTCATCAATTCCCAGTTAACCAAAATATCTTAGAGCTTGTCAGGTTTATTTGGGTAAATGCACGCGCACACATACACACACACACACATGTATTTCTTCAGTTTTACAACCCTATTCCTTGATATTATTAAATGAAGTATACATTTTTGGAAACATACATATCTTAATATCCCTGAGGAACAAATAAGTTTCAAAAAATGCCTATTATAGCAAGTCTATATCTCCTAATATAACCTTTCCTCTCCAAGTCAGCCTTGAGAGAATCTTTCCATTTTGCATGAATACAATAGAACCACCCTTTAAAGGCTGGCTTGCTGCTACTGAGATCATTTAG